GTAAGGAGGCAACTCTTGTTCAGAAGTGATAGTCGAAATGGAATCTGGAAATGTTTCAAAGTTAGAATTTTCAATCTGTGTAAGATTAAGGAAACTTAATGCAAGAAGGATGGTTCCAAGGACTTGATCTCCTTTGGAATGCTCTGTAATGATTGTTGTTAAGTCTTTCTGACTTTGTGCATAATCATTACAAGAGGATCGATGCATATAAGTTTAGAATCTAACAGATTTCAGTAAATGACATGAATTTGGAATTCTTGCATTTGCAGTAAGGATTTGGGAGTGTGAAAAGAGAATCATTGAAGATTATGTTCAATTGATCTAGTTCACAAAATAAAGATCATAGACAAACATAGTATGCATACTTGGTGTATGGCATGACTAGTGTTTAGAAAAACATAGTGTACATGCTTGGAGCATGGGACAACTATTGTTTTAAATTCAAGAATAATGTTGATAGCTGAAACAATATACAATAAATAATGTGTAATCATATGGTGATAAATAAAAAAGTGTTTTATTTATATTCATAAGTTCTGAGACCATATTGGATTCAATTATTATTGTGTTTCACTTTGCATGTTTTGACTTCCCGAATAAACTAGGTTATTCTTCCGGAATGACTAAGTTATTCAAACCATCCACAGTCGGTCATATGTTGGAAGTAGATATGAATTAAGACTGTCATGGGTTGGCTTGTAGAGGTCTAAGGTGTTGGACAAATGGCTACAACACTCATGAGTGCTCATAAGTCTGAGTATTGGATTCAACCCGCGCTCATTGGAATCACTTCATGGATTTTATCACGAGTGATCATGAGACGATAATATCTTATATTCTTCAAACCTAGAGATATGAGTTGTTACTATGAGTTGGTTGTACATTGATTGCACGAAACGCATTGGTAACTCGATGTTATAAAACGTGTCTTTGTGTATGATTCAACAAGTAGTAGAACAAGCCATATGAGTCGACCCAAAAGGACCATGCACAATCGAGTCAAATACTTGCCTAATATAGTTGCAGCCTTAGACACTATTCCAACAGTCTCCCATTTGGATAAGTCTAGTAACTATATGCACAAGTACACTCCGATTTGCAATCGTAGCTCTCAAAGATGTTGTCAAACTCTGATCTAATCAATCTTGTCCTTTAGATAAGGGATCGTACAGTCCTCTGTTAGATATCATGCTGACAATTCTATGGAATGATTAGTCAAGCATTTAGGTTTCTCGATCTCCGATTTATTTGACATAGAACTTAATCGAACACATCAATTCAGTTCTGACCGGTCCCGACACATAAGTCAAATCAAATCATCGAGCGGCCGAGATATCGCTTTTTCCTTTTGAGGATAAAAGTTACAGATAAACTTCGACTTATACGCATTTACTTATTCATTAATCAACTATACACAACAATGCGTTTTATAACATCGAGTTACCAATGCATTTTCGCATTATCAATGTACAATCAATTAACAAATAACAAACCATATATCTAGGTTTTAAGACTATATGATATTATCGTCTCGCAATTCCCCTTTTTATCTCATTCCATAAGGCGATTGCAGCAAGCGCGGGTTTGTTCCAATGCTCAAAACTAGTTCATAAGCACTCATGAACGTTGCAACTATCTTTTGTTATGTCTAATACCATTTAGACAATCTACACACCAATTCATGACAACCTTCATTCATACTTACTTCCGACATATGAACGATTGTGGACAATTTGAATAATTCAATTATTCTTAATAAACTCAATTATTCTGGAAGTCAAAACATGAAAAGTGAAACAATAGTTAAACAATCAACATAAGATAGTAACATTACTTATAAATAAAACTCCATAATTTAATCATCTAATGTTAATTACATTTATCTATTACATGTTTCTAATACTATCTAATCTACGATCACTACTAGAAAAAAGGCCTTTTACGATGCTCATTGCGCGTCGTAAAACGCTCAGACGACGCGCAAATGCGTGTCAAGGAAGGCCATGTCATAAAGAGAGACGACGCGCATTTACGACGCTCATTTACGACACGCAATTACTGTTGGATTAATGTCTAAGTCCATAACTATAATTGGTAAGACTTGACCCGACCCGGCATGGTCCATTTGGGTTGCATGGCATCATGCACTTGGATAGACTATAATGAGAGAAATAAGACACTTATGGTTATTAATATATTATAAGTTCTAGTATATTAATAATAAGAATAATAAGATTATTTAATTAGTATTGATCAAGAATTAATCTAGGATTAATTAAGTGATCAAAAGAAGACTAATTAAATATATGGGTTGATTGTGTAAATCATCCATACTTATATAGTGGGCTAATGCTCCATGGATTATCTAGTTGGGCCAAAACCCATATGATGCTCCATGGATGCTCCATGGTGTATTTGAACCCATGGATCCAAGGAAATGGAAAGTCATGACAATTAGGGTTTACCCTAATTGTAACACTATATAAAGATATTATTCTTCCCAAAATCGGCCACTAGATTATTCTAGAGAGGGCTAGCCGATTTTATGAAGTGTAGAATTCTCTCAAGTTATTCCAAGTGTATTTGGTGTTGTGTGAACCATTTGAGGTGTCACACTTGGGGCACTAGGCACTCAAGCTTCATGAAGACATTCTACATCAAAGAGGTATGTATTCTATCTTGTTATATTGATAGTTTTGTATGCTAGATTAGGATAGTACCTTGGATGTTCATATTTGCATGTATAATAGAGAAAACATAGATCCAAGGTATTTAGGGTTGCATGTACACTTAGGAGTGTTAGAATGCTCATAACCCAACAATTACGACGCGCGTTTACGACACGCAATGCGTATCAAGGAAGGCCCTGTCATAAAGGAAGACGACACGCATTCGCGTGTCATAACCTTACGACGCGCGTGTTAATGACATGCATTGCATACAAGAAAGACCCTGTCAAGAAAGGCCATGTCATAACTGAAGATGACACACATTTTTGCGTATCATAATTTTAAATGTTAAAAAAATTATTATTTATAGATTTACTAATTTTCAAATTAAATTTGTGTTTAATATCTCATAATAGAAAATAAAATATCATATACAAAAAATACAATCTATTACATAAAATTTAATATCATACAAATAATCGTTCCATGGAAAGATAAAACAAATTAATAGAAGTTGTTACAAAAATTTACAAACTAATTAGATACAAGAAATATAAAAAATAATATACCCTCAAATGCTTTTCAAAGTCTAATCTCCATGTCAGCTCTTCAACTCACTTCTCTAGTTTGTCCTTAGCTTCTCTAAGGGCTCCAGCATCTCTTCAACTCACTTCTCTAGTTTGTCCTTTACCTGACAAGCCATTTGTTCAAGGAAGCAAGCCATTTTTTCCAAAAGATTTCCAAGTTATAGTCGTGTGTAATGTAATTACTTTACTATATTGTATTTAAAAAAAATGGGGATTTACATTTACTTACCAGTTCCCAAAATCGGAAGTAACGCCATATGAGGAAAATTTTGAGCCACATGAAGTTTAGGACCTATATGTGGTAAATGATGCAGGCAACATAAGACAGTGAATTTATGTATGAATAAGTGAGCAGGTTGTGAAAATAAGTCTCACCCCATATCCAATAATGAAGAGAGACATAAGGATTATGATCTGAGGAATAGTAGTCATACTGAAAGCTTATCATGCGCAAAACAACTGCCAGAAAGGAATAAAAGGAAATTGTGTGAGAAAAGAAAAAAGTAGCTCAAATAAGGTCATTGGACTATAAAAAGGAAATGGAAGTGTTATGCTATTTCTGTGGCATTTTTGGTAAAAATAAAGAAATCCAAATGTTCTTTGTTATGGAAGTAGCAATAAGCACAAGCATGTGGAATTTCTAAAAGTGTATAGAGCTAGAAAGAGGCAGATAGAGAGAGAGAGAGAGAGAGAGAGGTAATACCAAAGTTAAAGCAGATATGCCATCTAAAGGTACCCCTAAATTTGTCCAAGTAAGCTCAATGGTCTCTACAAGTGCATTCCCAAAATAAATACAAATCCATACATGATAACACAGCACAGAGTGATTAAAATTTTAAATGAAGCTACAAATGAGAAATTAACCCACCCAAAACTGGAAAATGAGTATCCCTCATAAACACGTTTACAAAGAAGAAATGATAAGTTTAAGACCCAAAGTATAAATGCGAAGTATTTTGTGCGTCCAAAAGGTTAGCTACCTCCCAAATAGATATAAGGGTAAAATGGTCATTTTCAAATTCTTTTAAATTAAACCACCATATCCATGGTAATCAGCAAAGCATTGGGACCTAGATTTTTTTTATATTATAATAAGTAAATACAATATATAGTTCTGACTCTACTGTGTCCGAAAGGTTAGCTACCTGCCAATATATAGTTCTGACTCTACTGGATTTGCAGACTCACTAGAGCTTTCAGCAGCCCTGAACACCACCAAATCAATAAATTCAGCTGTAGATTCATTCAATAGGAAAGATTCATTGATCAAAGACGTCAAGGCAGACAATTTTAAAGATTCCCAAAACATGGAAATATAATATGGGCCTTGTAAAGAAACTTAATCTTCCTACAAACTTTGGGTTTCATTGAAAACTAGCTATCTCCAAAAGCAAACGATGAGATGTACATCATATGATCAACAAGAGAACACCAAGTAAATTGCTGTCAGGAGGCCAAACCAAAGAAACCTTATTCATAAACCCCTGTACTAACATCTATCTAGAAGAAAATGCCCAAAGAAAAACCTTCCTTTGACCAACAAACCCCAATATCAATCAATGATCAGTAATTCAACGTACCTTTTTTTTAGCAGAACCGATCTTCATCTCCATGAGCATATCATCAGATCTTTCTTTGTTCTTCTTTTGTTATGCAGAAGAAACATTATTAGGCCCTGCACCAGTGTTGCCCACCAACTTCATTAACTCTTTGTCGTTGTTGAAATACCTAGCTTCTTTCTTGGTCAACACATCCCAGTAAAAAAGAACAAATGTTCAAAGAACATATATTCTTCCATGGCATCTTCATTATGCATGGCATGTGGAGATTGAAATAACTATACAAATAAAAGCACCGCATAAGATCAAGAAACAGTAAAAAAGAACAAATGTTCAAAGAAAAACAAAAATTAAGTATCTGAGGCACCTTCCATATGGGTCCAGTCACTACTATCCAAGCACTTGACAAGGGTATGCAAAAACTTCATTACCAACCACAATTTATTCGATTACCAAGGGAATTTTGGTTGGGTAGCTCTGCATCAACAAATATGATTTATTACAAAAAGGAATCAATCAACAATGATTAGAAAATATTGAAATAGATAATTGATTACCTGTATTAGTTTTAGGGCTTGTGTTCCCGTTTCTCTTATGCATTTTATACATGAGATTCATCCCAAATTAAGAGATTCGTGAAGATACTTTGAAACAACAAATCCAAAGTGAACAGGCTGCAATAATTTTTTTTAAATAGTAAAATTGGTGAGCAGAAAAGATCAAGTTCTTGGAGATTTCAAAAATATCAAATTTGAGAATTTGCAATGCTTAATGGCCATTGTTCATCGTCAATCTAGAATTTGCAATGTTCATTCAACGCAGTGCTAAGAACCTCAATATTAAACGCCTCTGTTGACTTCAAATTTCCACCCGATGCAGCAGCTGCAGATGCCATTACTGCAGGAATGTTGGCAGTTTTTTTACCCTTCCAACAATCCGTTTTCCCTGTTCCTATTTTTATTTCAGATAAAAGAGAGACAACGTCTGTAGTGGGCTGTGCTTTTTGCCATGTGTTTGCTTTACAAAGTTGCTCCTGAAATGTTTATGTTTGGACACAGTCAGTTTGTTAGACTTAATAAACTACAACAAAGTGAACCTTTTGAGACTACAGGCTTGTTTCTTTTTTTACTTAAACTGGACAGAATGACTTAACGAGTTAAATTTAAAATTGATGAATATTGTGAAATTTGTTTTTTTGGAATACAAGGGTAATATGGTCATTAAGTCTCATTTAAAAGGCTTGTTCAGTCTAGAATATAAGGGTAATATGGTCATTAACGTCACAAACCTGAAGAAGACCTTGGGTGGTGCATGGAGCATAGGATAGCGAATCAACAATCCACTCCTTGACAACGCTTTGGTACAAAGAGCGAACAGAAGCTACTGAAGCAGGATCATTCACGAGAGATGAAGGTGGATCACCATTCACAGAGAACAAAAGAGAATCCAAACAAGATGATTTCCACAGAATCTGCACCCAATAGAATGTTACTTAAAGTAAAGGGCAAATCATTTACTCTTTTTACCATTATAGGTAATGTAATTTATTTTTTACAGGAGATAGCATATAAAAGCTCATAAATTTGTAATACAGGTCAACAGTTTACCTGTGGAAATCTCTCTCTCAATTGAGACAACAGATTAACAGATACATCCCGAATGTGTTCTTCTCTAACAGACAAACTCTTTATGAGAAAACAAGCATGGACAACCAGAGTTGACTCTCTGACCTCAGCAGCATCTCCTGTCTCGCATATTTGAGCCTCCTGCATCCATTACAAGATTCACCTAACATTCCACACATAAAAATAAAAATGCATAATATAAAGGAATTCATAAGAAAAAGAATCACCAGCCATGATAATGCAGTCTCAAAAGCACGATGAACAATGGCCATTAAGCATTGCAAGACAGCTGGCATAAGATTTGGGTTCATTCACGTGGAATCTTTCCAGTATGTTACATTTTCAGGTGGAATCACAACCAAAAACCTAAAAGACTTCATCATTACTAGCAAGTTCCTGCTACTTCCATGATCAAATAAGCAGTAATAGTGTAATAAAGCAACAAATTTATCCTCATTAGAATTGACAAAAACTTTAGTTAACAGGTGAAATCATAAACACAAGTTCATAAGTACAAGTCAACAACTTTGACTGGAATATTATATTGAAATGTCTACATACAATTTAGGATGAACACGTTTTGGAGGGATGAGCTATAATTGCAACAAATACTCATACAAAAGGTAATTATGCATTGTTTCAGCAACAATGTTTGCAACCTGTACATATTTTTCATAGATAGTAAGTTCAAGTCTCCTCATTAGATTTGACAAAAACTTAAGTTAACAGGTGAGTGAATTGGACTATGTTTTAAAAAAGTTGTTTGAAGAAAGCTATCCTAATTCTCAGGATTTCGCCAAACTGTTTGAAGAAAGCTGCATAAACAGTGGAATAATTGAATCAACTTCAAGTTATAATAGATTTCCATAGAGCTCCTTTGAGGCATAAGATGTATAATTTGCTTGTGTATATATGAACACAAGTTAAAATGGCCATTTACACATACACACAGAGAATCAAATTACACATACACACGCAAAGATATCTGTTCATACCTGGTTTGGATTGAAGAAGGCCATGGTTCAGGGGAAGGGGCAAGCAGATAATGCAACAAATGTATCATACAGGGAGGAATGCTTAATTCCATTCCTTCACACACAATCACATTTAGGGCTTCACGCCCATAAACTGCCTCTCAATATTCAACATGTCCTTATCTTCACTATCTAGATGCGAGATTTAGACATGTTGTTCATAGGTCTGGAGCAGTTGATGGTATCGTAGAGGCAGTGATCGACAATCTGTTGAACGGATGAAGCAGAGAAGTCGTCGACAGATGCTCCTAGGTTGGGGAAAAGGGAAGGGTAGGGCTGGTCAAAGAAGGCAACAATGGCGACCACCGGAGAGGAAGGGAGGAGAAAGAATACCGATAAGAAAAGGAAGAGGAAGAAAAGAAAATTTGTACGTACCGTAGGTTTCTTGAGAGAAAAAGTGGTCTGAGGGTTGCGTTTTGCCCTGATTGGCTCCCAATTACCGTAAAGGGTTTGGGTTATGCTATTTATTTGAATCCCCTGGTTTAAGAATGTTGTATTTTACACACCATAAACTCTCTCTCTAGCTCCACCATCGACTGTGAGAACGTGGGTGAAGGCGGAGGCCCTAGGGCTTCTTCTTGCTAATTCAAAGATCAACATCGATGGTAGAAGGTGGAGGCATCAGTAGAGGGAACAATCTAAAAAGAGAGGAGATCGAACCATTTAGTGTGAGGTTCGATTTGGAAGAAATCTCAAACCCTTAACCTTAAACATGATGTGAAGCGATTGATCCATAATTTTCTTCGTCTACGTCAATTCATTGGGCTCGCATAATCGGATGATGGTCATAAATTTAGCATTCTTCGAGAAGGAAGGTGCATCGCCATAGTTTAAGGCTGGAAGAGGCAATGAGGATTGGAGGTAGTGGATGTGGACGAGGGGTGGAGACGAGGGAGAAGAAGGTGGGGTTTAAAAATTTTGGGGATTTCATTTTCCCACCGAGACGCGCATTTCTTAAAAGAAAATATAAAACGACATTCACATACGGCGCACAAGTGCCTTCCGTTTTTTTAATATTTTTACATGAGACACTAATTTAAGGGCACTCAGTAATGCGCGACCTAAATCCTTAAATTTTTTGAAGAGATGACACTTTTTTAAGGTCGCTCTCTAATGCGTAACATAAATCAAAGATCATCGTGTTTTGCGCGTCGTAAAAGGCCTTTTTTCTAGTAGTGGATAATATCATCCTTCAGCCCAATACTCCTAGCATGCTGCAAGTGCTTAACCTTACTCAGTCCCTTCGTAAGCGTATCTACTGGGTTATCTTCTGATGATATCCTCTTCACTACGAGTTGTCCTTGTTCTACACGATGTCTAATAAAGTGATATTTTCTGTCGATATGTCGTGATCTACCATGATCTATCGGTTCCTTGGCCAAGGCAACCGCTCCTTCATTATCACAGAAAATCTATATGGGCTCCTTTATGGAAGGTACAACTCCAAGATCACCAATGAAGTTCTTCAACCATATTGCCTCCTTCGATGCTTCGCTCGCTGCAATGCACTCTAATTCGCACGTTGAATCAGCTACGGTTTCCTGCTTGGAACTTTTCCAAGTTACTGCTCCTCCATTTAGGGTAAAGACCCAGCCCGACTGCGAACGGTAGTTGTCCCTGTCGGTTTGAAAGCTGGTGTCACTATACCTTCACACCTTCAAGTCATCACTCCCTCTGAGGACTAAAAACCATTCCTTCATCCTCCGAAGGTACTTAAGGATATTCATCACCGCAATCCAATGAGCTTTGCCAGGGTTCCCTTGATATCTACTATCCATGCTCAAAGCAAAGGCTACATCAGGGCGAGTACAAGTCATAGCGTACATGATTGAGCCAACTGCGGAAGCGTATGGAACTCGGCTCATTTCAGCTATCTTAGCTTCGGTACTCGGAGTCACCGCAGGGCGAGTACAAGTTATAGCGTACATGATTGAGCCAACTCAGGTATCCTCTAACATTGAAGACATTCCCTCCACCGCCGTCACCGACCATCTGCAACAGCGGCTTCATGTCTGGATAATGGATCACCCACCTGGTCAAATCATCGACAACCCATCCATAGGTATCGAGAACTCGATCCTCAAAGGATTTGTCTGATCATTGTCACTATGCAGGGTTCATGTCATCCATCGAGCCACGAACAATCAAAGAAGCATTGCTAGAACCTAACTGGATATCTGCAATGTAAGAAGAACTAGAAGAATTAAAAAGAAACAAAGTGTGGCAACTCGTTCCAAAGCTAAAGGGTCACACTATTGTTGGAGCACGATGGGTCTACAAGAACAAACTGGATGAATCATGTGTGGTCATCAGAAACAGAGCAAGATTAGTCTCCAAGGGGTATAGTCAACCTGAAGGTATTGACTACGATGAAACATATGTCGTTCTACCTCGAATGGAAGCCATTCGCATCTTCTTAGCATACGCAACTCACAAGAACATTAAAGTACATCAAATGGATGTGAAGAGTGCTTGTCTCAATGGTGAATTGAAATAGGACGTTAATCTTCAGCAACCTCCTGGCTTCAAAAGTCTTGAATTTCCAGATCATTGCTATAAACTAGAAGATGTTGTCTATGGTCTAAAGCAAGCTCCAAGATCATGGTATGAGACCCTCTCAAAATTTCTTGTATTGTCCGGACAGAAAAGAGGAGTGATTGATCCCACTTTATTTAGAAAAGCCAATGGTAATCACCTTATGCTCGTACAAATCTATGTAGATGATATCATCTTCGGATCTACAAGTCAAGGATGGTGGATGAATTTGCAAAGCTCATGACCAGCAAATTTCAAATGAGCATGAATAGAGAGATTAACTTCTTTCTAGGTCTTCAAATCAAAACACATTTTGCAAGGAATATTCATTCATCAGGAAAAATAAACCTCTGAACTACTGAAGAAATACTTAATGGACAACTGTTCCACAGCAAAGGTCCTAATGGCCTTCGGATATAAAATCTCAGCTGATCCTACCGGCGAATCTGTAGATCACAAAACTTACGGAGGAATGATTGGCTCATTGATGTACCTCATCGCAAGCCGACCAAACATAGTCTTATCGACTGGCTTATGTGCAAGATATCAAGCTGATCCGAAAGTGTCTCACCTGACTGCAGGTAAACGAATTCTTAGATACTTAAAAGGCAGCAAAGCCCTCGGTCTATGGTACCCCGTAGGAAACGACTTATGTCTTCAAGCATGCACTGATGTTGATCATGCTGGATGCAGATTAGATTGAAAGAGCACTTCAGGTGGATGTCAATTTCCGGGTGGAAGACTAGTCAGTTAGTCATCAGGGAAACAAAGTTGTGTCTCATTATCTACCGCAGAAGCTGAATATGTGGCCGCATCCAGTTACTGTTCACAAGTCTTGTGGATGAAAACACAACTTATGGACTACGAATACATGATGCTGCGGATACCAATTTATTGTGATTCTGAGAGTACAATACGATTTCTCACAATCCTACTCACCACTCTAAGATGAAGCACATTGAACAATGGTATCACTTCATCAAATACCACATCCTCAAAGGTAATATTAAACGAATCTTTGTAAACAATAATGAAGAAATTTCTGACCTGTTCACAAAAGAACTTGACTCTACAAAACTCAACAGCTTCTTACAAATGTTAGGACTGATGAATCCGGATGCACAATTTTTTTTGATTTGTTAGGTACCACTGACCTTCTCTGGTCATCATTGCTGTCCTAGCCACATATAAGTATCATACATAGTTGTCGTACATATACTGTATATACCGCAACCATATATCATACCTATATGACAAGGTCCTTATTTTATTTGTTTTTTGACTTTGATTTAAGTGCTCTCCTTAGCTGTTTCTACCATCTACCATATACTGCAGTCATGCATCCATCCGCAACGGTGTCTTACATTGCAATCCGTTGACGATCCTCAATCCATATGAATAAACATTTATTTCCTTCATAAATTCTCTTTGTCATGATGTGTGCTATTTAATGATCCTTCATTAAATAAGAAAATCATTCTAAAAAAAACATTTTATACACACAATCGTTTCAGTTCCTGTCTCAAATGAACTTCTTTCAGACCTATTTTTGGTATGACGCCAAAATAAATCAAATTCCAACAAAAGAAATCTTTTAGAAATCTTTTTACTAAACTGTCTTTTCCTCCCTTAGCCAAGATGTCTCATCCGTTCCATATTCACCTTTACTCAACGATTTGTTCTCCCCCTCACCACACATTGTGAGAATGTGGGGAACAGTGTCTGACATCTCATTTAATGCT